AGTGCATTCAAGGCAAGGGCAATCAGTAATCAAGGAGGGACAATCAGTAAATTTCTCTCAAGCTCCAGTCAGTTACTGTCTTCTCTGGCCCTCTCTTTGCCACACTTCCTGCCTTCACTGACCCTTCCCTAAGGCCAAAAAGAGGTAGGGCGGCAGATAAGGAAGTCAAGGTCAAAGTCACTGTCCAGGACTCAGTGCTTGGATGAAATGCCATGGCAGGTCTTTGATACCCATTCATGAGAGGGGAACAGAAGAAAGAACGAATACATGAAACAATTTGATGTGCCAACCAAGGCTTGAACTCAGCTTTCCCAAAGACAGAGCTACGGAGACACTTTAAAGGGACATTCGCTTCTTCTATTCGTCCTTGTCTTCTTCCTTCAGGCTCCATGGGGGGAGTGGCACTGCTAAATCAAAGGCTGTGCCTGTCAGTTTGAATTCACTGGCAGCTTTGAGGGAGAAAGATGGGCAATTTCCAAGACTTACAGCCTCAGAAACTCACTGGACAGTCCGCTAGGAGTTCCAACTTGATGGCAGTGAGTTTTGAGTTGAACCCTCAGCGTGGGCAGGAACCAGCTGGAGATCCTGCTCAAAGGCAGACTCAGTAAGCCCAGGTCTGAGGTGGGGCCTGAGTAGCTGCCTTTCTGATCTGCTCCCAGGTGCTGCGGATACACCTGGGAGTTTGAGTTGTTGCCATTGAGTCGCCTGCAACTCATACAATAACCTTGAACCCTGCCCTATCCCGAATTGTTGTTGTTGTTATGTGCCTGAGTAGAGGATCTAAATTCCCTTAGAGAATTATGAAGCCTGGGGTGTCCCAGACTACAGCAGCCCATACAGGTAAGCACAGTATTCCAGTAAATGCAGATTGATTCAGTCCTAACTAGTCCTTCCTCCTGGCCCCCAGCCTTAGCTCCTGGCAACATCACACATACTGACCATGTGGCCATCCATCTTGTGGTTTCTTTTAGGCTTTGAGAGGGTCCCTCTGGGTGGTGTAGACGGCTAAGCACTTGCTAAGCAGAAGGCTGGAGTCCACCCAGAGGGGCCTGGGAAGAAAGGCCCAGCCATTTCCTTCCAAAATCTCAGCCACAGAGAACCCTCCAGAACACAGTTCAACTCCAATACACATGGGGGCGCCACGAGGCAGAATCAAGTCCATTTGAGACCTGGACAAGATGTGAACGCCATCTGCCCCACAATGTTTAAAAGACAAAAGAAACAGATGGAAGAGAGGTACCCATCTAAAGTCATAAAGACATTTATTCCACTGGGAAGTTAGAGCGCAAAAGAAAGACACTTGAAGGAAACCAGAAAGAAACACTCTGGCCTTTCCAGAAAGGAATAAGGAAACTTGAGAAGGTCTGTACTCTTGTAACTGCACAGTACAGGAGGCCATTTCCTTTGTAGCTAAACCTCCCCGTTAGCCCCAGGAAAAAATAAAAGACTAAGAACTCAGGGGGAAAATACCACGCACAAAAAAACCAACCCTCAAGAGCCATATGGAGGTCTCTATTTTTTACCTCCTACCATCTGGTTGGGGATCTAAGTACAGAGTGGCAATTGTGCTGATTTGAAGCCAAGATAATCTCCAAGCAACACAGAGGGTGCTAACCTGGAGGGTTAGGGCCCTGCAATCTGGGGCTTCCAGAGCCTTCACTGTCCCTGCATTAGCCAGGTCTTGAAGGCCAGCCCTAGATTCAAATGGTTCCAACACCGTGTACTGCATACAGGGGGATCTTTTCTCCTCTGAGTCTGGCCAAGTCACCTGGAAAAGGAAAACTACGTGCACAGAGCGATTTGGGAAGTGGATTCCAGAAATCAAGTTCAGGGATTCTGTCCCTCCCCCTCGGGCGAGAGTCTGCTTGCTCATGGAATTCTCCCTGGTGATATTACCAGCAACCCGATACTATCAGAGTTCCACAATCTGTTGTTCTACCATTCTAGAATTCCCAAACCCTTTAACAACGAAGGCGGCTGTTTTGTGGTTTTGTTTTTGGGTTTTTTTCCCCTAATAACAACTCACTGGGGAGCAAAATATGTTGCCACCTAAACTCACTTGGTAGCAAAATCCGCCCAAATGAACAAGGACGCAGGCCTCGTGCATCTGGCTTTGGGCTTTCCACGAAGCCATCTTAGGAGTTTGAGACCATAAAAAAACTTAGCTGGGGGTACTTTGTATTAAAATGTTGTTGTTGTTGTGTGCCATCAAGTTGCCTACAATTCATAACGACCCTTTGTACAACAGCTCTGAACCCTGCTCTGTCCTGTGCCAATTGCAGTGCCTCTGACACTCCAATCCCGATTATTCCAGTCACTGAATCAGTCCACCTCATAGAGGGCCTTCCCCTCCTGTGCTGTCCCTCCACCCTCCCAAGCATGATATCCCTCTCCAAGGACTGATCTAGCCTTGCAACATGTCCAAAGTATGTTTGAGGAAGCTTCAGAATCCTTGCCTCCAAGGAGCAGCCTGGTTTCTAGCATGAACCTGTTTGTTCTCCTATTTGTCCACCCTTTTCCAGCACCACACAGCTCAAAGGCATCAATTCTACTTCTATCATCCCTAGTCATTTTCCAGCTTTCTACCATATTACCTTTCAAAACCATACAAAATTCCAGAATCTAGCCCTAGACGTATGGAGAAAGGCACTGGGGCCCTGTATTTGTCTTCCCAGTCATCCCTGGGTGATGCTCAGCGGCTGACTAAAAGGTTGGTAGTTAGAGACCACCTAGAGACTTGCCTTGGAAGAAAACCCTGCCCGATCATCAACTTTCACAAAGCCAGCCACTGGCAAGCCTATAAAATACAGTTCTCCTCTGACGTGGTGGGGTCGTCGAGAGTTGAGACTGACTTGACAGCAACTGGTTTTCTTTCCATTCTGGGCTGCTGTTTGGAACACTCTTTGAAATGTCTAGATTCTAGGGCACAGTTTTTAAGTCAAAAGCACACAAGTTACTTCAAGGTCCTCACGAGGACTCCAACAAGTAGAGAAAACGTCAGCAACAGAGATAGGTATTTCCGCCCCCCCCCCCCACCAATAAGATGGCTCGGTGGACCCTTCCCCAAGTGCTGTTTACTCAGCAACTAAAATCCATCCAGAACAGACTCCTGGGGCTCATCCCCTCCCTGGATTCCCAAACATCCTGGTGCCTCTCAATGCTTATTCTTAAAACGAGACCATCTGCCCTGAAGCAGTAGTTTCTGGTAACTTAGGGGCAGAGAAAGCTAAGGGCATTTGCTAACTTGAGTACTGATTGTGCATGTCAAATCACATATTTTTTTCCTCTTCTTTTCAAATAGTTTTTTCTAAGCTCTAATTTACAAACCATAAAAGTCACCTGTCTTGATTGTGAAGTCAGTGGGCTTTTAGTCAACTTACAGAGCTGTGCAATCACCACCGCAATATAATTGGGGAACGCGGCCATCACCCCAAAGAAACCCTGTACCCATTAGATGTCACTCCTCCCTCCCCTCTCTTGAGCCCCTGGAGACCACCAATCTTCTTTCTCTCTGACTGTATCAGTGCTGGACATGCCATATAAATGTAATCACATGATATTTGCTCTTTGAGGTCTGATGTCTTGCACTCGGTGTAATGTTTTCAGGGTTCAACTATGTCATAACAAGTATGAGTACCTCATTCCTCTTCATGGCCAAGTAGCATTCCATTGGGTAGCTATTATACCTCATGGCTGATTTGGGAAATACATGGCAATCTGCTTCTATAAAGATTTACAAGTTTGGAAACCCAATGGGGCAGTTCTACTGTGTCCCATAGGACTGCTAACAGTTGGAATCAACTAGACAGCCGTGGATTTGGGTTTACTGGTTTTGGAGGCTGAGGGAGTTGCGGGGCGGAGACCTTATCAAGACTCCAGAACCCTTCATTCTTGAAAGAATTCCATGACAACGAATTCCTGACGTGGCCTTTTATAACCAATACTGTCCAGGTGCACTCAGAGCCAAAGTGGCTCCCACTGGCCACACGCTGAATGAACGAATGAAGTACCCAAGGTACAGAAAGAAATCTAAATTCAGATGATGTGGTGAAGCCACAGATCAGGCTGAAGAGGAAAATAGAAAAAGTAAGCATGAAATTGGGTCTGGGTTACGGATCCTGCAGTTTGGTGGGTGCATCACACTGCGCTTCAGCAGTTGCTTTACTCGAGGATTGTAGGCAGCACACTGTCATTTCTGATCTAGTTCCGAAAAAGCAATTGATCGCCTAGGAGCAATGGCATGGTGGTTTCATGCAAGATCACTGCAATCCCTTAAGCCTCCAGTGTTTGACTTACCACCCCTTTAGATCCACAGTTAAGTGACTTGAGTCTTAGCTAATAGTACTGAGCTGAATATACCCACTGATTTTAGGAACATGAGCACATGTTCAGGGGCCTAAGGGTTCCTTTCCTTTGGTTACCCATTTGGCCAAAGCACTCTTCACCTACATCCTGCACCTGGCAGTCCTGAGACTAGCATCCTTCCTGAGAAGGAAAGCAGAAATTAGATCCCACAAACCTACCTGTTACCTGATTCTAATGCCATGAGATTTGATTCCCCCCCCCTGCTCCTTCTTAAAGACAACAACTGGCATTAAGACAGGATGGTGCCAAGTAGTGGAGCTGGGAACACTCTTGGAGACTCTTGTGGGTACCCTGGCCGAGTATTTGGCCCTGTACAACCCATCTCCCATCACTGGTTCTGCAAGTGGACATTACACAGTCAGCCCAAAGGCATAGTTCACTCAACACTGCTCCCTTTGAGGAGGTGAAGGAGGGGGAGGGTGAAAAAAGGAGAGAAAGATGGGGTGGCATGGAGAGGAGGTAGAGAAAACGAAAGATGAGTACAATTTTTAAAGGTCTAATTCCACCCATGCCCATGTGAACAGATTAATGCATCAAGCAAAACATAAAATGTCACCAAACTGAAAAAGCCATTTAAAATCACATTCAAGATAACAGTGACTTGCTATTAGAATGCATCCCGAGGCTGTATTTACCTGGACTGCTCAAGGGGCCAGCCCTGTCCCCCTGGGTTGGCACGGGATGGTACTGGTGGTTCTTTGAGCCTGGGTACATCCAGTGGTACCTGCCAATTTCCATTTCAGCTCTGCTGTTCACTGCCAATTTCAGGTGGCAAAGAGTCAGTGTCTCTATCATCAGCATTTTCACTCATTCTTTTACCTTATCGTTAAAGGAAACTGATGTGTTACCCAAATGCTATTGAAGTGCACCCCCTCAGTAAGCAGCAGCGTCTCACTCAGCATGGAGACTCTCAACAGTGCTTGCTTCGTTCCCTCTGGTTTCACGTGGAAGGTTACACAGGTTTCCCCAAATCACATTTTCTTTCCTTATTCTCTCTCTCTCCCTTCCCCCCTACCCTTTACTTCATTTCCAGACCAATAGAGCAACAGAAATGCCAGGCACACACGCGAAGGGGAAAGAGCAACGCGTGCTCCGTGATGGTAGCCAGGCTTCACGGGAAATCTGGCCCAGAGACCCAAGGTCTGCCAACTCTTGTCTGAAACACCTGCCCTCCCCCTGCCATCTGCACCAGCCTCTGTCACCTCCTCTTAAGTTCACTATTTAAGAATCTAGAATGTTCTGGATTAAGCCAGAATTAAGTTAGAATTCTCTCCCAGAGTGGTAAAGAGAAAGGGCTCTGGGTCGTGGGCTGGAACCACCGCTTGCTCACACCCAGGGTGGCAAATCGCTTCCCAGGGATTCTTGTAGGAGCGTGTGCACCATATCTTAGAGGTCTGAAGAGGAAAATACTAACTTATTTGCCAGGAACAGAGTAAGCTTCTGGTACCTGTTCGTTAAACTTGAAGCTCGAAATTCCTAAGAAACCATAAAGTCACTCTGGTTGGTTTATGTCTATGATTCCCACAAAACCTCATAGGTGTACAGCCTTCAAAGGTGCCACAGATATTTAAGGATAAAAAGATGCTTCTGTCACTGACGTGGGTAATTAGTTCACTTAGCAGATCAAGCACCTCCAATCACTGAGGCCAAGGACCAAGCAAGCCGCCCATATGGTAAAGCAGACAAGCAAATGCTTAAGATCCCAGTGTCTTTCTTTAAGAATCCTGGCTCAACTCTCTCATCTCTAAAAACACTCTAGATAAATTCGTGGAGACAGTTTCCTAGGTTGCCTTTTCAAAGAAAACTGGTTTTGGACTTCAAGGTAAGGTGGAAACACGTTGCCTTAAAAAAAAAAAAAGAAGCTGGAATAAGATGACAATAACAAAACAATTTTGTTTGTTCTACTGTTTTTGCCAAGAACAGGTCCGATGGCTATGATGCACTAGTCATCGTGCTAGAAAAGAGAGCATTGCGCCTGGTAGCTCATCTGTTGAAGCAATGCCATTAGATATTATTATTGTTATTATTATTATCTTTACCAATTAGGAAGCCAGAGTCAAGATCAAAGTGACCTTGGACAAGTCACTTCTCCAAGATCATTGATCCCAGGGAGTAGAGGGGATTGGTGTGAGCCAGGGGACCTGCACTCTCCCCACATGGGGACTGACACAGGGACTGTCGCAGTGGCACAAACACAGCCACGGCTTCGAGGAGGGCCCAGGGCCAGGCAGTGTTTCACCCTGCGGCACACAGGGTCACTGCGAGTCCCAACTGACTGGTGGCATCTAGCACTAACAGGCTGTCTGTCCTACTGTGGCTGGTGCATTTGCTCTGGTCTTCTACTCTCCGGCTGAGGCAATTCTGCTGATGTTCATTTGGAGGAAGGCTCTGCTTCTTTGCCTCCTAGATAACAGCAGTGGTCCCTTAACAGTTCTAGCACTGGACTCAGCAGTTCACTGCCGGCGTTCTCTGACACCAGTGTAACCACACCATCTCACTGTCAGATCTGGTTTCTTTTTGATAAAGTTCTGGGTGCCCTTCTTGGCAATCTTACACAAGCAGTTACATTATTTTCCGCCTAGAAATTGTCCTTCTCCTTTTAAAACTACTTCGCTACACATGCCCAGCACATGGTGGATGCCCAATAAATGTGAATAAATATTTGGTTGCAAACAAGGGAGCAGCAGTGAAGGCTTTAAGAGGGATGAGGATGTGCAGGGGGGTGGGGGGAGGATTAATCATGAGGTTGTACACTTTGATGGGTGGAGGGGTGAGGGAAATGGAAAGAATTTGTTCTTGAAAACAATGTAATAGAATTTTGTAAATAGACTAGTAGAAAAAAAACCCCAACACATCAACTAGTGAAAGCTTGAGACTCCTAGGACTCTGTAGTCCAAGCAATGAACCTCTGGGGTGCCTGCCATACACTTGACCTCTATCCAAGCCATGTCAAGTCAGAGAGGCTCTATGTACAGTACATATATCTCCTTCTGCCTGGTTGTCCACATCTTCTAGCCTGGCTGGGGCGTCTACAGACCTTCAGGCACCGTGTGGAGCCACCCACAACAAAAAAAGACAAGCTCATGGCCTGCTCAACACAAACATGCTTTCTGAGAAAAGCCAGCAGACAAACATGATACTCCAGCAGCAGTGCGGACAGAGCAATGGCTACGTGGATGTTTCCAGACCCCTGGCCTAATGCCTCTGAGACTTTTTAGGGCTGTAAATCCTTGGCTATAAAGGAAAAGCAAAGCTTTCTGAGCCAACATTAAATAAAGACGTTCAAGGTAAACGGATTTATACCACCTCAAATACCACTAGAGGCATTTTTCACTGTGTGGCAGGGTCTCCACACTTAGAAACGAGTAATAAGGCTGTGAGGAGGCGCCTCAGATCAAATAGTATACTTCAAACATCATCAACTACAGATGACTGGAAAGACACGGAAACGGACACGCCCTGGAAGATCCAGGTTCTTGTACCAGGAGCCAGACATTCCCTGTTGGAGAACAGAAGATGGACAAGGGATGGAGATCTATCCAGACTCTTCTAGAAGAGAAAGACTGTGCCACCCAAGACATGATGTAAGGGTGCAGCTGAGGTGAGCCGTGTGGCTTACAGAGACAGACACAGCTGTGGGCGGGGGGTGGGTGGTGGTGGTGGTGGTGGTCGTTAGCGGAGGAGGATGTGGAAAAAAAAAACCAACCTCAAAAACAAACCAATGGGAAACTGAGGGAAGAAAGAAAAAAAGCCAATGCCTTAGTCACTGATTTACTGCCAATGGCGGTGGAGGGCTGTGCAAAAGGGTAGGCGATGGCTGCTCAACACACCGAACTTGATGAATGCCACTGACTTATACACGGCAAAGTATTATTATCTACCTTTTTACCAGGGTCAAAGAAACAAGTGAAGGCGAAACAGAGAGCCAGCGCCTTGTCACTTATTGATTTCTTTTTAAATTTGGATTGCGTGATGCCCTTGGTGAAACTGTGCAGGCGGGTATGCTTTCTGGCACTTATCTGCAGGGCAAGGCCTCTCTGAAAGCTGTTTCTCATCCTTCACTTTCAGCTGTTACTGTAAGTGTTAAAGGAATGCCCTACCAACCAATTCTAGAGAATGGTGCGCAGGTTCGCAAACGATGGCCCCCTGATTTGGTAAATAAAATGTGCTTGAAGCCAGGCCGCGCCCATTTACTTGACCACTGTCTCTGGCTGCTTGCTTGCATGCTACCAAAGGCGCGGCTGAGTAAGCACAACATGGGCTGTGCTTCCCACACGTGAAAATGTTAACTGGCTCTGCCTCTTGACCGGGAAAGTAGGTTGGCTCCTGCTACAAAGTATAGAGCGTAGCAGGGCTTGATTACCTAACACAGGAAATAAAAGCCAGCCTATAAGAAAGGAAATACTCGGCTTATCTCTGCCTCTACTACTCTCTAGGGAGCTCTGGCGGCCTAGTGGTAAGAAGCTGCGCTGCCAACCCAAAGGCACGTGGTTTGAATACACTGGCTGCGCCGTGGGAGAAAGATGGGCACTCACCTGTCAAGTGATTTACTACCGCTGAAAACCCACCAGGGGGACAGCTCCAACTCGACAGAACACAACACAATACCCCTAGAGGGTGGCTGGCTCTGAGTTGGAACTGATTTGAGGGCAGTAGAGTGGATTTGGCTCATGGTCCTCAGGGCAAGTCGGCACACTTCTCGGTATAATATGAGCAGCTGAGAGGACAGAGAAGGGATGATGCTTCAAAGGAGAATGTAGTGAAGTGAGTGAGCAAATGGACAGCCAAGCAAACACATGGGTGAAGCGGGATGGCTGCCTCCAACTCTTAAAAGCCAGTGAACTCACCTCCTCCCTCTGTAGTGCGGCTGTCCTTAATCCTGGCATGCCTTCTCACGCGCATGTGCAAAGGCAACAGAATAGCTTTGGAACCTGCCATAAGGGCCAGTGGGGGGACACTGCCATTGTGGGACACTGGCTACGGTGCACATTCTCAGGTTCAGACAGACTAAGGAGTCATTTGTGGGACTCTACCCTCATTTCACCTGTACATCCAGATAACAGAGCTGTGGGGTTTCTTGAACAATGACAAAATACAGGCAAATCAGAATTCCAGAAACGGGCCAGAATTCTTTCTCTAATTATGAACTAACGAGGCCGAGGCTTCACAAGTGTGTTCATGGAGACAGCAGTGTTAAAAAAAAAAGCAGGAGCTGGACCAAATGGCTCCTTGCAATCGTTCCCACATTTTATTTTATTTTAGAAAATTTAATCGAGGAAGGCTGTGTCGTACCTTACCACATATGTCCAGCACCATCTGGCAAGCCACGCTTTCCTCTACAGCCTATTCCCCAGACACCCTCTCGTCAGATGTCCCCCTTGGCAAATTCTTAACAGAAAGCCTGCATCTAAAACTTTCTCTTTCCCCTGCGGTATAATCAAGTTAGAAAGTGCTATGCAAATTTCTAAAATCAAAGCCTTCCTAGACCACCAGGGAGAGGGTCACTTCCCCAGCATGCCACCTTGCAAAACAGAGCAAAGAGACAAAAGTGCATGCATTCTGCGGAGATGGTTCTTTTTGGCTTTTGTTGTGGGTTTGTGTTTTTTTTTTTTCTAAAGTAACTAGGAAAGTGTATCTGATTAAAAATATTTCAATTGTGTACTTTTTGGAAAGCAAGTCAACCCTTGGTTCACTCTTACTTTGTCCTGTATCCTATAATTTATTGCAAAAGACACATTGTTTCCAAAGTGATACACTTTTTCTTCCAATGTGGTTAGAGAAATTGGATGCCTGGAATTCTGGAATTTATTTTGACAATGATTCCGAGGGCTTGTACTAGCCTGACTGGAAGGGTTTGAGTTGGTGCCGCTTCCCTGTACATAGAAAAGTAATTTTCAACACAGTTATTTAGAGTTTTTTCCTCCTATAATAGAGCATATGAAATTGTTATGACTCAATTGTTTTTCTACTCCCTGATTACACACTCCCAGCCATACCAGCTGCATGTGTTTTCAGAAATGAATTGACGATATCAAGCAATAAATACTCCACTGAAATAAATGGAAACTCAGCTCACTGTCTCTTTCTTCTTGGGTCTCGGGCTCTCTTTTCTTTCATTCTGGTCTATTCATTTCTTCCACTTATTTCATTTCAGTGAGTCGGCTTCCTTGATTGTCACACTTTGATTTAATTTAATGCTTGCCAAATTAAAAATGGTCATTTATAATAATGGGGCCTTTCTTACGTCCCTCTGGGAAAACCCACATGCTTTCCTTTCAAATCCCTGAATATCCATTAAATACTTCTTGTAAATTTGGGTTCTCTAGAGGTATCCAGCACAGAGTGTGTGGGATGGCATGGAGCCAGGCCAGGCTTTCTTCTGTTGGACGTGGGATTGCTGGGAAGCAGACCTGACCAGAAGGCACCCAACACGATGTCGTGGGACCAAAGCTAGAAGCCCGTTTTAAAAATCCATCTACTCGATTTAAGAAATTTGGATTAATTTTGGTTTAAAATAGCAGCAAATTCCTGCTTGGACTTAGTTTAAATAAATGATTGAGTTGGAGATGGTGACTCCTAATAGCTGGGATGTTGTTACCCTGCTCCAAGTGTCGGCAAGGAGACCGCCTGTGAAAGCAGAGTATGATTTAGAAAGTTCATTTCATTCACATACTTAACACTATCCTAAAGATCCAAAGCTTTTTATTCTCAAGCTATAGGGGATGAGCCTTCGGGTATTCGTGCTTCTGATTAAGAGACCATTGGTCATTGCCCCTAGCAATGGAAAGCGAGGAGGCACAGAGGGGGAAAGTGCATAAAAACTCTATGAAAAGTGCCAAAATGCATAGAATGAATAGGAATTTGAAAAAAAAAAAATTCCTTACTGAAGTCTTAAAAAAAAAAAACAAAAAAAAAAAACACCAGGTCCACCAGTTCAAGAATTACAGAACACATTCTGCAATGCCAAATTTTTCAATGTTAATTTCCCTGGAATAAACAGTGTCTAAAATGTGCAATTAAATCTGAAGGAAAATGCACCCAAACGCTCGTGGCTGTCATTTCATGTTCACGGACGTGCCTTTCATGATTACAGGCGAGCAGACTGGGAAATGGCACAGAGGATGTTCGTGGGAGCTTTGACTTTGGGCAACTGGCATATGAACTTGATTGCTTAAACGAAGAGAAGGAACCAGGCCACCCTCCAGACCAACATTTATGGTGGGTTCACATCACAGTCATGACCCTCACTGCTCGAGATCAATAAAAAGAAATGGCCTGGCCTGTATTGTTATCCAAGCATTCAGGGCACATGAGATGATGGCTCTGGGCAATTTGTTATTTTAAAATAATTTAAAAAAAAATGGCTAATGGTTGTCACCTGGTGAAATTGTCATAATGCCTCTTTTGCTTCTAATTGTGCCTCTGAAACTATAGCTCATGAGTTTTCATACACAGGTGGCCACAGATGTAGTGGTACTCTACAGGCCATGCGTTTAAACACTACTAAACTGACATCAAGTAATAACAGCCTGGTGGAGTGGCTTAAGTGCTGGGCTGCTGACGGAAAAGTTGGCCTTGAACCCGTCAGTTGCTCCACAGGGCAATGAGGCAGGCTTCTCCTGTTCGGATTTATGCCTTGGCACCCCATGCGGGGTCGCCATGAGGAGGGATTGACTCGACGGCAGTGGGGTTTTTTTCCCCCTCCTTCATTTTCTTTTGGGGAATTTATAAAACGAAATGATGGTGAGGTACACAATTACGGAGTATGGGCTTTATAGAGGTTTTCCCACCCTTGCTTGTGGCGAGGAAAGCACATAACGATACATTTTAGCAGAAACCAAAATGGCTTTAACTGCTACTGGCCAATAGCAAATTAATAAAAATAACATTGTGTTGTAGACAAAACAATCTATTCTAAGAAGCCTTCCTCAGAACAATTGAGACTCTATTATTACCTCCCCAAGTAGGCAAGCAACTTAGTCTCTAATTGTTAGGGAAATACATTTTTAAACTTTTATCTCCTTCCTCAGCTTGAAGACTACTCCCAAGCGCGCCCCTTATTGCCATATTGTCATTTAGGGAGATCACACACACACACACACACACACACACACACGGTAGCTAGTCGTTTCTGGCTGGAAGGAAGGAGGAGGGTGGTTTGGATGTAGGGCTTGACCAAAACTCCCAAGTGGAAAAGATAGAATTGTTTCTGTTGCCGAGAAAAGGTGATGTGAGCAGTGTCTACAGAAGAAATTCCACAGACAAGCGAGCAGCCTCTCTACTGGAACACTGTGAAGCCGAACTCTATGAAATTGTTGGTTGTAAAAATGGGTTTCGGCATCTGGTCCACCCTATGCACTCACAAGGCAAACTCAGCTGTCTCTCTGACCTGGAGAACTTACTCTTATTGTAAGGAGAACGGCTCCTGGTGGCTTTTTTCTCATAGGGCCATCTTGGCTGCACACCAGGCTTTTGTGCCCACCCCACAGACAGTCTATCACTTTGGGCGAGGGCGAAAAATTACAATGCAGTGAGACGCCCTTATAACCTGACAGCACTGAGCTGCTGCTACGGGCTAACAAACTTGCAATCAGGTCTTTATCTTGCACCAGAAGATATGAATTCTACCTTCTCTTTTCTGCCATAATCTGAGCGCACACCACTCATTTCCCCTCCCAACCCCCACCCCATAAGGCCCATTCTGGACCTCAGAATTCTGAGGGGTTCTAAGATACCTTTAAAGAAACCGAAGCTTTACAGATTTTTTTTTCTTCCCCAAATCTCCAAGTAACACACAGTAGAGAGATCCCCCACCCTCACCCCACCCCTCAACCTTCTTCCATTGACACTGGGCGAGAGCCCCTCTCCAGCTCCAACATGTCACGGCTGAAATAGCACTTGTGTTAGAAGAAGACACTGAGAGAACGTCCAAATGCTAAGTGACCCGCGGCATCAGAACCTGCTTGCACACACCTGTCCCTCAGGTTCTCCTTGGCATGAGCCGAAAACACCACCCTGCATGCGCCCGGGATATGCCCACGGCGTCTAAACCGCGGAGCACTGGAGCTAACTGGGTCCCCAGACCGCTTCCCCATCCAGCTCCCCAAGGTGACCAGAGGCGCCCGCTCGGTAGGCATGGATGGACCAGAAGAGGCTGCTCCATTAACTGAACATGAAGAAACCCCCCGCCCGCCCTCCCCTCCAGCAAGCCCCTGCCATCGAGATGGCTCCAGAGGCACTTTACAAAGAGACAAAACCAGGCTCAACGTCTGTAAGCGCCCCGGTGAAAAGCTTGAAACAGGCTATTGTCAGAGCCTGGGTACCTTTTCTCTCTTGGCTTTGTTCAGTATTTTCCTCGGCTGCAGTTTCCATGGCTGGCTTCATACCATCCACCAAAAATGCTCTGCCCCGCTCCCCCCTGCACACACTTCGCTCTCCCTCCTCTTCCTTTTCTCTGGGACTCCCCTCGGTCTCTTATTTACACCCGCCTGATTGAGAGGTTCTGTTCTTCCCTACAGTGGACGCCAGTCCCTTCCAAGATGCACGTCTTGTCGGCGTCAATTCTCCTCTGCGCGCTGGTCCATAAAGCCAGCTGCCAAGGAGCCAGCGGCCATCCGGCAGCGAGGAGCCCCGAGCAAGCGGCCCCTCTGCACTGGGGGCCTCGGTGGGAATGCGGGCGCCCCAGCCGGCCCTCCTCCTCCTCGCCCCCCTCCAAGCTCCCTTTCCCACACACACGCTGGCTCAGGCGCTGGCTCGCCCTCGCCTGCGCCCAGGCACCCACTGAATGCTAATTAACTCTCCTGGGGAAGAAGAGATTTGTGACATCAGAGGAGGGGACTGGAGGAGGAAGCGCAGAGCCCCCTCCCACATCACGTGACGCCCTGGCAGGACAATGCAAGGCCCCCAACAGGCACAACTCGCTCTTCACCCCCAACCCACCCTTCGCGGGGCATCAGCTTTGGGCATCTTTCAGCGGACCCGAACCTGGCACAATCTCTTCAAAGCACTTGCCCGCGGTCTCTGTTTCTCGGCTTGCTTTAGGGTTTGTCTTTCACACAATCAACTTGTCTTGATTCTGAAACAGATTATTAAACGGGCTGGGGAGAGAAAAAGCCAAATAGGGGCTTACCACTATGAGGGCAGCATTTGTGTTCAGAATCCCTCCCCTGGGCTAGAGTGAGGGGCCATGATGGTAGAAAAACTATGTAGAAAAAGGCGCCCCTCCTTATTGCAAAAGAAGCATCTGAGGCTCCAAGTATTCTCTTTCACGGAACTTTTCTTGACAGAGGTTTTGAAATATTTATATTAAGGAGAAAAGGGGGACAGAAAGGAAACTAAGCTCTGGTGGGCATACTAGTAATGAGCTGCGCTGCCGACCCAAAGGTATGTGGTTTGAATCTACCAGCTGCTTCCTAGGAGACAGATGGCCTAGAGGGTCAGTCAGGAGTTGGGATGCGATGGTCCTAAGCGAATCAACAATACCAGGCTACAAGGAGAACTCACAGAACCGAGGAGTGGGCATGGCTATCAGTATATGAGGATATTTCAAGTCATTAGAACACCTTTCAATAACGATTTTGGCTTTAGGTTTCCCACGTCTCCTTGGAGACCTAGACGCGGTGGAACCAAAGTGCACCCAAACATACAAGTTTCACTAGTGGTAATGACCTGTGTGTTACCAAGCTTCATGGAGTGTATATATATATATATATATATATATATATATTTTATTTTGGCTCACCCAACTTGCTTTCGTTTACAGAAATAAAGACCATTTCTGCAAACCCAAGTTAAGTACAGCAGTGGACGTTGATAGCCAGCGAGTGGAGGCTCCTCCATGAATGGAATCGTGGATTTGCTCTGCTTGATACCCATCACGGAAGGAGGAAAATAAGATGATAAATGGAGACCATCATCTCTGAAGATATTTTTTTTGAGGGTTTATTGTCCAACACTTAACCCTCCTCCCCTCCAAAGAACCTTCCCATATAAGACTCTAAAGAAAAATCCTCTAGCAATCCAATCTTTGCATGCATTCGTTTTAGATAATCCCCAAAGCCTTCTACATTCAATATCTCTGGCCCTGTCAAACCAGAAAAGATTTTAAAAACCAGTTTGGCTTGTTCCAAGATTTCCTTTCACTTCTTCATCTCATCTTTCACTTTAACCATTGTCCTTGAAGAGCACACTCCCTCCTCCTCCATGAACTAATGCCTTAACTCTTGGCCCCAACCAATCATTACTGTCTCATGACAAGGGACTGAGAAGCATGACAAGCTGAAAATGGCTCATGCTTTCCTGGCTATTACTTACGACATTTAAATGTTGATAAAAGTGTGAAGGTAGGATATGGAAGACACTCTTTAGTTCCTTATCACAGATACTGAACCCAAATCCACCAGAGGACATGCTTTACAAATCCTCTAGCTATTATCGCCATGGATTTTGTTGTGTACCACTGAGTCAGCTCTGACTGGCACAGGAGGAGAGATTGCCACACCTTCTCCAGCAGAGCATCTGGTGGATTCGAACCACACACCTTTGGGACTGCAGCACAGCTTCTTGCCACTAGGCCCCCAGAGCTCACTATCGTCGTGCATTTTTAAATCCAACAAACTACCAAAATAAACAATTCCTTTCTTTTGCCTTACTCGTGACCATTCTTTTCAGGGTTGTTGTTAAGCACCATCAAGTCACCCACAACTCGTAGTGAGTGACCCTATGGACAACAGAAGGAGACGAGGCCTGGCCCATTGCCATCCTCACAATCAGCGCTATGCCGGAGCCCACTGCTGCAGCCACTGTGCCACTCCACCTCGTTGAGGGGCTTCCTCCTTTTCACTGGCCCTCCATTTTTCGAAGCATGATGTCCTTCTCCAGGGCACCAGCTCCTTCTAAGAACATGTCCAAAGTATCTGAGATGAAGTCTCGCCACCCTGCCTTCTGAAGGCTGCCCTTTTTCAGACAGATTTGCTTTGTTTTCTATATAATTCTAGAAGTTACCGTTGTCACACTCGTTCTCCCTATTGATAGCCTCAAAACCCAATAAATGCTCATGATAGACCATTTTAACTGGGGGAAAAGCAATAGCAAAAGTGTCAACAGCACAGAGGAAAACAAAGTAGGCCATTATAACACTCCTGACATAGGCATCCATTGTTGGTGAGGACAACAGGAGATGGAGAATGAAGAGAATCAGAAAAGTCTGCCAGAGCTGAGAAGAATTCTTGCAACAGTCTAGTGGATGGTAAAAATTCTTCTAAAAAACCCTAGGAAGAATAATAAATGCCACCATTGGCTGTTGAACCACATGAAGTCGCTGAGATTGTCCAGGAAAAAGAGCAGCTTCATATGGTTCACTGCACCTACTGGAAAGTCTTCTGTAGATTTCAGGTCACCTCAACGAGCATCTTTTGCAAAACCTCCTGAGTGTCAGCAGCTGGGAGAAGCAAAGACATGCAATCATGGGTGGGACTTGTCTCCAGGGGCCCACAGAACGCTGCTCAGCCCGAGTCATGCCAGCACCAGGGTGAAGAGTTCAGGTTCTAACCCAGAGGCCAAGTTGTTCCAAACCACCAGCCACTGGCCAGACAACGAAAAAGACGTGGTGACTAACGATGGCAGATTAAGAATCTCTAGGGGTTTCTGTTCTGTTGGCTTGATGGGACACAACAGGTAGTGTAGGGTCAGAAGCAAGAAGAGGGGAGTGGGAAGTGAACTGGGGAAAACCTCACTCAGGATGGTCAGAAACACAGCAGGCAGGAAAGGAAAGGGATGAGCATTTAAAGAGAAAACGAAAGGCAAGTCAAAGAAGAGAGATGCTGTCAAAGTGGCCGGGGGATGGCTCTTCTCAGGGAGGTCCAGAGTGTAGGTGTGTGAGGTGGGCTTGGCCTGCATGGACGTAGACCAGTGGGAAATGGCTGAACAAGAAAGTAGGTGGCGGGACCACAGAGATTGAGCACCGGGGCGGAGGCGGGGGGAGGCTTATCCTGGAGGCAGACTGGAGGTGGAAGGCTTTGCAAGGGTCACTCTGTTGGCAACATGGAAGACATGGTGGGGTGGAAGGAGAACGGAGGCTGGAACCTCTGTGAGTTAGGACACAGTCAACCAAGGGGCGGATTTCAACTGGGGCATGGGGAGGAAGTGAGGACTCTGGGGCTATATGGTGGGAACTCAGGTGTGGGGCTGGTCCATGAAAAGGGGAGCCTGGAGTGGTGTGACTTGAGGGATGAGTTAGGAGCCAGTGGTGCCATGAAGCAGAATGAGGAACCGGAGAGGAAGGTGAAGACGGGCATGCACGTGTCCTAGCTGTAAGGAGAGGCAGGAGTTCACCAGGTGCTCCATGTGGGGACCGGCAGGCTCCTCCCAAATGCTCTACTGTCTCTGAAAACCGGCTGCAGGTTCAGCTATGGGTTGGTTCCCACCTGAAGGTAGCCTAGTGGGTAAGGAGTCATGCTACCAATCTAAAGGCAGGTGGTTCAAACCCACCAGCTGATCTGTGGGATTAGGCAATCTCCTCCCGTGGGATTTACAGCCTCTGAAAACCCAATGCAGGATCAGCTTTGAGTTGGTTCCAACTCGAGGGTATATAACAACAACAAACAACAGGTTCTTCTGGTCCCTGGGTGGCTCAAATGGTTTATGGCTGACTCCAAACCTTAAGTCAATTCAGACACGCTCGGCAGTGCTGCAGGAGAAAGGCTTGGCAATTTGTTTTTGTAAAGATTACATCAGAGAAAGTGCCGTGGGGTAGTCTATTCTGTACCACATGGGGGTCTCTGTGAGCAGAACCCGACTCCATGGCAAGGGGTCTAGACTCTCTGGCCAGGCTGTACAGGAGGCATTCTGGAACACAGAGAGGCCAGGCCGAAGAAGGAGTCACCTACCACAGAAGGACAAGAAGTCCCGCTCTGCTCAAAAGCCACTTTCTCAGGGGGACCTTCCTTCCCAGCAAGAGTCCTCAAATCTCACATAGAAGGCAGAAAAGATACTTTATCCATAAAGTAACAGCCCTCAAAAGACTCTCCAGTCTGTGCTATGCTCAGGTGCTGTGTAAGATTAAAAAAACCCCAGAAACTAGAAATAGAAAACAGAGGCAGAAATTTAGACTATTATTTCCTGGAATTGTTTTTTGTCCATAATCAGACCTTCCCAAAGCTTAATCAATTTGGCAAAGCTCTCCCCCACCCCCATTACCAGAATTACATTTCTAATTTTACATCTGATGTGGGTTTTATTTTTAATTCCTTTTGATCCTTTACTCCTCGGTAACTCCTCTATATTGGTTGCACTTTCCTTTATAGGGAATGGCACTGCATAAAGCTGAGCCGAAATGACAAATCAAATTGGATGATGCATAGGAAAACTGCTCACAAATGCTAAAGCTCTTGAAATATAAGCTCTCCTCAGCAGTGTTTCCCTTTAGTGTGAGAGGTGAGAGGCGAGATCTCTGCAGGCCGCGCATCTTGAAACCAGCTAATGAATGGCAGGAACCAGCCCGCAGGAGCCATGCCCTCCCCAATCTAATCGGCTGTTTATGTAACAACAGGCAGTATCCTCATCAACAAAGGCTAGAGTCGCCAAAATAGTGACTGTTGAGTTTGGCAAAAGCCAACGCCAGGTGTAAGGGGCCCCTTTCTCCTGG